AGCCAACCAAGTATCAAAATTTTGAAATAAAAACAGAACAACGTGGATAGAATTTTCGGCCAGCTTCCTTTCCAAGTTTTCCTTCGATTTCTCTCCACTTTCTAACCATAATCATCTCATTCATCACATAAACAACCATAATCAAACAATCAAGCCTCAAGTCAGCTACCTACAAGCCTCCTCAAGACCGCTAGCCTATGATTTAAAGCGAGATAAATGGTTCCTCAAGTCCTCTACCTATTTTCTTGCTTAGGTTTGCAAACCCATGAAAACTAAACTTCAATCTTGAAGAAATTGGAAAGATTCAAGGAGATGAAGGGTTACCTCTTTAAACCTAGATGAGATCAGATTTTCCACCAAAATTCTCCAAGAAACTCTGCAAGATCGCTTCTTTCTTCAAGCTAGAACTAATCTCCAAAGAGTTTGAAAGTTGGATGACGAATTGCAAGCAAAATGAAAGCTAGAAGTGAGGAGTTTTCTTTCCCTTCTTCCCCCTTGAGGTTCAGCCGACTGTGGAGAGAGAGAGAGAGGAGGGTTTTGTGTAATGAAACTTGTGAGGAAAGAATGAAAGAAAGTAGCTTTATATTGGGTGCAAAAAGTCAACTTTGAATAGTTGTCGAAATGGTGTCGTGCACTACCACTTCCTCTCTTGTTTGGTACACTTATGCACTAATACTCCAAGGTAATTCTCTAACACTGTAATTACTCACACTTACGAGTCTAATATTAATTTCTCAAATCTCTAATTAGTCGCGCGGTGTGACTTTCAAGAAATTTGCGACGCGCGTGCGATAAAGCGAAATTTAAGGGCAATTCATGCAACTAAAATATAATTAACTAACTCTAGGGTAAATAATTATAAAAAAATGACTATTTTAAGAAATAAAACATGAGTCCTCACAATAGATCACCTCGTGTAAGGTGCTTATAGGCAAATTAGTATTAATCATATAAATAAAATTACATACCCACTATAGCCTGCAAGAAGATGTACAAGTGGGTCAAAGCACCAATAATCATTTCAAATGTATGCATATTATTGCACTATGCATGTGGCTGCGATGACTAATTGCAATAGACATATGGACAAATAACTTCATATTAGCAATATCGATAAACAAAATCTAAAATTAGCAATTTAACTTTCTTTCCCTAGTACATTGTAAAATAGATTGAACATATGGTAATGCATTAAAAACTAAGTGTAAATACATTCTAATGAGTGTTATGAGTCTGGCATAATAAAAAACTATCTATTTATTCAATCTACAGTTGACTGGGGTTCCAACTTGTAAACAAGAATAAACAATCACTAGTGGTTATTAATGTATGCATTTCTTTCCCCACAAAGGTTCTATTATCAATTTTCGGGATCTAATTTAACATCATTATACTAGTTGATTGTGCATTTATGACCATGTCAAATTTCTAACATGAAGTAGCAACCAGCAATGTTTAATTAATAGAGTGTGCAGTTTTCTCCCCCTTGTAACGCCTATTCCTTCTTTATTATTTTCCACTCAAATGTGATTCTCTACATATATAGATGCCAAACTATGTTAGATACATGAAAGTATTTCTCAACTATGGGACGCCGGGCAGGGACGATTGCCAGTTCAATTGTCCTTGAACAATGTAACTTTTTTTGAACATTTTGTAACTCTATGTAAATTTCTTATACATTCTTACAACAAAGGTGTGATATTGTGTTGCTGTTCATGTGGGTCTTATATGTAATAATTCATCTCTGTTGTTAAATTTTACAAGTTGCACATGTAAAGTCACACCTTGTTCAAAAAATATTACATCATTCCGAATAATTGTTACTGGCAACTGTCCAGGCCCCGCGTCCTTAACTATAAGTAGTTTATCTCAAAAATTATTTGATATCAAGAATTATAGTTAGCTACAATCACTCAAATATCTCGTAATCTTGGAAGAATTCTTCTTTAGAGATACATGAAAGTATTTCTCAACTGTTAGTAATTTATCTCAAAAAAATATTTGCTATCAAAAAGTATAACTAGCCACAATCACTCAGATACCTTGTAATCCTGGAAGAATCTTTGTTGTACTTCTTATTTCATTTGTGTAATTTACAATAACTCACTTTACTTATCTTTTATCTTTGTATGTGTCAATTTACTATGATGTGAATGCCCATCCACAACCAGTAATATAATCTAAATTGTATGGTGTCACTGCTATCCTACAACAAGAATGAAAAAAGCAAGTAATGATTGCCTTCATACTCTCCCTGTTATTTTATATGCCTATAAACTTTCCAAGTCATTTAATTCGTCTATTGAGTCAAATTTATAAACACTTGGCATGTATAAGTTCTTTGTGCATACCTCCCCCAGGTTGGCTCTTACTATATCTAATTTGTGCTACCCGTCATCTTCCTATTCAGACTTTAAAATTGATTTATTTTGTCCATTTACAGATATACATTAGGTGCCAAATCATTAGATGGAGTTCAGGACATGGTTCAGTGACATTACCTTCGTCAAATTGGGGCATTATGTTTCACCAACATCGGATGGCACAGTTGCTATTATTTTGTTTTTCGACAAAACCGGAGACTATTGTAAATGTATTTCCTCTATTCCCTTCTGCTTTGCTGCCTGCCTTGGAAAGGATGCAGCAAAATTGTCCTAACAATTTTTAGCCTCATCAATTGTTGCATTCCCTCCCAAAGATGTCTGCAAAGATAAATTGGTCCTTCCATTTTCACTCAAAATGCCCCACGCGCTTGGCTTCTTCTCAACAGATTTCGCCTCCTTTCTTCTTCACATAAACATCAATGTTTGCATTTTTATCTCTCAATTATTTTTGGCAAATATCCGTAGAGTTAGCAAGACTTATTTTGGTGTACAAAAGAATGAATCCAAGCTTTCTTGACTTTTTCCTTTTGTTTTATGCGGTTGATTCAAATTTTTCATTTGATATTTGAATTTTGAATCAATTTATTTGTCCCAAACGGACCCCGTTAGGACTTCAATACATTTTTCACTTTTTTATTCTGCCCACTTATTATAACGATGTCATTTTTGGTTCAGCAACATAACTAGTAGACGTGGCTCCTTCTTCACCTCTCGTCGCATTTTGTGAGAGGATTGTTCAAGAACGATCCGCCTGGTGACCGTTCCTGCCCCAAATGCAAATCCTCATTCACGCCCCTAATCCGTTGGAGCCTGTTTGATCGGCTATTCCTACAGTCCGAAGTTTTATTTATGAGTACCTTTGCAGCCCTAGAGGATTGTACTTTCATATGCCTATATACATTAAGTATCAGTTTGTAGCAAATAAAGCGTCAGTCCACGGAGCTGGACAAAACATTTTTTTTTTTTTTTTTGTCGAATACACCATAACTTCATTTCATTTTGTAAACTTGATATTACAAGACTTAGATACAGCAGATTCGCTTCCTCTGAGGTCACTTTGGGCTTCCTCTTGGAGCCACATGGGAAAACATACATCCCATTCAACATTTGTTGTTAGCTTGACAGCAAATTTTGCTACACTATGTGCACATCTATTCCCATCTCTATGCACAAAAGAGAAAGTACATTGTTCAAACAAACCTCTCATATTTGCTATATCCTCAAGGATGACCCCGATGCTGTTTTGCTGCTTTTGTTTCTTGTTTAGCATATCCACCACGTCTTTGCAGTCTGATTGAAGCTCAACTGCCCTCCAGTTTGCTTTCCAGGCCATTTGCATTCCCATCCTAATTGCTGCTGCTTCCTCCACCCGTGGCTCACTACGTTTTACTTCAGCTCTTGCCCAGACTTTCATCAGCTCCCCTTCAGCAGTTCTGGCCACAACACCTATACCTGTTCTCTCTAAATTTTGTGAAAATGCAGCATCAGTATTTAGTTTTATCGTACCCCGTGATGGTGGCCTCCATGTCTTAATTCTGCTTGAGATTGTTGTTTGTTGAATGAACTCTCCTGTTATATCTTGTTGGGCTTCTATATACTCATTCCATTCACCCACAGCTTTCTGCATTGTTTCCCTTGGGTCTGTCTCATAAACATCAAAAGCTGTCCTGTTCCTTGCCTTCCATATTTGCCAAAGGATATTCACAGTCAGCGCTATGTGGTCATGTCCTTGCTCCCTAGTTTTTGCTCCTAATATCCCTTCCCACCATCTTACAAAATTTCCTCTCATATCCCTCAACCCATCCCATTGTATGGGTGCAAGTTTCCAGGTCGTTTCAGCCATGTTACAAAAGAACAACATGTGTTCTAACGTTTCCACCTCTTCCCCACAGCTACTACATATTGGACTGCCTTTGCCTGTTCGCTTATGTATTTGCTCATTCACTGGCAGGCTATGATGTAGGCACCTCCATATGAAGTGCTTCAGTTTGTGTTTCAGTTGTAATGCCCATACATTCTTCCAAACTTTGGAGTTCTGTTGAGCATAACTTGTACTTCCTCTATCTCCTTGCCTTCTTTCCTTTTGTTTATGCTTCCTTATTTCCATTGATACATCATATGCAGATTTTACCGTGAACGCACCTGATTTGGTGTATCTCCAATACAAACGATCCTGGCAGCCTGTGAAACTGAGTGGAATAGCTTTGATCTTTTGGATATCCTCTGCTATGAACCACCGGTTCAGTGTTTGCTGGTCCCAAGCTCCATCCACTATCAGCTCATCCACTTTTCTTAGTGTGCACTGTGGTTCCTTTCTAGTCTTAATCCTCCCCTCCTCACTCCCTTGCAACCGGTGGTTCATTTGAGTAGGCTTGTTTTCATTTGAGTAGCTGGACAAAACATTTGAGTAGGCTTGTTTTCTATTAAATTTCCTTTCCTTCCCTTTTTTTTGGTTACCACACCAAAACGGACCTTGCCACAAGAGAAACGGAAACAGGTGTTGGCTAGCGGGCTTTGGTGCATAAAATTACTTGTTCTATACAGTTCGAAGCCTCTAATCCTTCTATTCTCCATCCAAATTGCTTAAGTACGAAGTTTCTAGTGAATATAACATATGCCAGAACATTCAGTAACAAGTCAGATTAACTTGGCCCAAACAGGATTTGAAATTCGAAGGTTTAGATTTGTACAGTTGTACAAGAACAAAATTCTAGTGAAACAACAAAAGAACAGGAGCCAGCAAGCACTAGCCAAGTCACCACCCCTCCCGAAGGAAAATGACTTTGGTTCAATTTTCACCCAGCCTTGCACCAAGCTTTTCCTAAATACATATAAAACAAGGGAATAAATCCATTTCAACATAAGAAAGCTTTGCCTTCACTGGAGTATTTGGCTGCCGTAATCTTCATTAAATTTCTCATAACGATGTGCATGGAGATGGGCAGAGGGCTTTGTGTTCTTCAAAGCGACCTCTATGTCTCCAGGTGTAATTGGTCCAACCTCAGGCAACTCTGCAAGCAACAAAAACTTTTAGCAACCAAGTACACTAGTAACTTGGACCCAACTATATAATGAGAACAATGATTCATCGATAGACCAAGTTAATTAGCACATCCTTAATCAAATCACTTCAGATAATTGACAAAACACTTGCTCAACCACTGTTTGGTTGCAGATTGAACACGTCATATTTCAACCACCCTCCACCAATCATTTCAATGAACTTGCATAGATACCCAGATCATGTATGGATTTCAAATCTTTACCAATAAACAATTATCAAGGTTTTCAAACCATTAATATCCTTCATTTAATTGGCATCATTTCAGATCCATTATTGTCCTTTAATTAAATTTAGGTGGTAGACCTAGAGTGCTTATTCAAATCTTTTTGTCATCCAAACTGAATTGTTCAAACGGATGATTTCAAAAACCTTTTTTCCCATTAAGCTCCTTGCACAAAATAGAATCCACCAATCAAAAGAGGACATCCTTTTCAGTCCTTTAACAGAAAGGTACACAGCAGAGCAGAGGCAAGTAAAAGCACAATATATTCATTAAAAGATTTCTAGATCCACACAATCATTGTCCATGGGAGACAAACCTGTACATATGCATATACAACACATACATATACATAAACATGTATATATACATATATTATGTGTGTCAGTGTGCTATGTATGTGTTGTGTTATATAAATATATATACATGTGTGTGTGTGTGTCTATATGTATGTATATAAATTTCAGTTTTCCTTTTTCACATGGCATTCCTAGAGTAAAGACTGCAGCAAATAATGGTGAATATAGCATACCATCCTCAGGCATGACTTCTTGTTTGTCTTCAAGAAACAGTATTAACTGTCTTAGGGGCTGCATGGCAGCCTCTTTGCACAATAACCTAATATCAGAACCAGAATAACCCTCTGTTCTTTCGACTAATATATCATAAGGAAGTTTCTCTTCACCAGAGCTCGATGGCAAGAGTTCCTCAAACATGGCTCTTCGTGCATCTGGTTCTGGGAGTGGAACAAGGATCTAGCACCACAGATTTGAGTGTAAAATTTCAATAACCAAACACAAAGCTATGTCCGAATGGATTTTCTTTCCCATTACAGAGGAATTATTAACTTACACTGACAAACTCACACCAAAAGGCAAACGAGAGCAAGTGTGAATCTCTTTAGTCATTAAATCATGAAAACCAAGACTAAAGAATGACAAGTAAAGCCTTTTGTCATAAACTTATGAAATTATCAGTAAATAGTTATTTACCTAGGATTCTCATTCAAATTCAACTTAACACTTATCACCATTTGGATGGGCTGTATTAAATCTGTCACAACTTAGAAGTCAACAGACTGAATTGTACGAGTATAACATTTTGCAAATGTGTCTTTGCTTCAAAAGACAGCATTATATTTGCTCAATATTCATCTTTTAAGTCATGATAGACACTTTTTTTTACCCATTCATAAATGGCCAGAAAGAAAACTGACATGACTTCACGAAATTTTCACGTACTTCACTTCACACTAAACTGCATGTGATGTAATTCTTCCAGCTATCAAGTAAAATTCTAGTATGCCATATTAAATACAATACCCGTTTTTCAAGACGCCGGAGCATCGCAGCATCCAGTTCCCATGGAAGGTTTGTTGCCGCCAAAACAAACACAAGTTCTTCTGACCAAGTCAAACCATCCATCTGCAGTCTAATTAAAGCCATCAGTTTTGAGGCATGTTTAAATCAAATAAAGTTAGTCATTGAATCAGGGGACAGGAGGATGATATTCTTAGCTGCATGGATACAAACGAAACCTAATAATAATATTCATCAATATAAAAGTTTAATGTTTAAACTAAAGGTCGCAGGTAAATGGTAGTACATTTTAAAAAATAAATTACTTAAGCATTCAGTAACAAACCAAAAGAGGCAAAATAACATACCGACATGTATATTTATCTAATACACAATAAAATAAATATACTTCATGCACTTGTAGAAATCAAGTGTGACCTGTATCAGCAGCTCAGTTTTCAAACGTCTGCTTGCTTCATGCTCACTGCGTGCTTCACCTCGTTGGCTGATGATAGCATCAATTTCATCAAGAAATATAGTTGAAGGAGCATGATGTCTAGCAAGCTCAAACAACACCTTCACCAACTTCTCCGAATCACCTGGAATTTTAGGCCATTTTGGATTATTTATCAAATAGAACACATTTAGCTAAATCAATGTTCTGGAAGACAAAAGTGGAAGCAAAAGGTTTGCTGTGGGATCATGAACAATTGCATTAAGGTAACGTATTCAGTAATTTATGTGCCAAATTCTTAAAAACCAATAAAGAAAGAACACAAAAAACTATAACATGAAATATACTGCATTAAAAGACAGACAATATCAGTTTGTGGAAAACAATTTCGCAAAGTAGTGATCTAACAGTGGTGAAACTGCCCAAAGACAGATGCTACATCAAGCCCTAAGGGCAACAAGGTCACCGTGCCACAAACACAACTGGGATTTGCATTGTTTGCTAAATGCCAAGTTGGATATCTTACTTTCTACCGCACAATGATACTGGAGCGCACAATCAAGATCAATTCTACATAATATCAGTACACTTTGGATCACACAATCTACCTAACCCAATAAAAAACAAGGCAAACTTGAAACCAAACCCCAAAGACCAAAAAGGACTGGTTTTGCCATACTCAAGCTATTGCACATATAAGCACAAAACTTGATTTTAACTCCTTTGTCAAAATAAATAACCAAGGTTCCAAAATTCCTACTATGAATATAGCAGCAAACTCAAGCAACCATATAATAGAACTCAATTATTTATAATTGTTCAAAACCTCAATTTCTATGAAAGAGGAAAATTGGAATGTAGATGCAATGTATGTTCCTAAATTGTGAAAAAACTGTGACTGAAACATCAACAACCCCAAAGTTAAAACTTCAAATTAAACAAATTTCTAGAGAAATATAAAAAGCTCAGACTTTGACTGTGCCTATTTGACTTCATTTTTTTGGATATAGAACTCGCTGCCTGGCAATGACTTTTTGTTGTCAGACAGCTAAGGAAGCAGCTGTGAAGTAATGTAGGGCACTCTCTGGGGCTTTGGCTCATTGAAACCAGTCTAACTTTATGGTAGGAAATGAGAGAATTTCAATCAAACTGAAAGCAATGAGAAGGAACAGACATTCTGCACAAGCTAACACTGATGATTGCAGAATTTGTGGGCCTGGCTGCAGCTAGTGAGATTGCTTAGCAACGTTAGTTGGGAGCGAAGACATGTCTGTTAGGTCAGCAGTAGAGGTTAAGACATCAAGGAGTAGTTTTGTTATCATCTAGTTAGTTAATTATGTGGACAGAGTGCAATACACTTTGCAACATCTGTTAGTCTCATTTTACCCTTCATTACCTTGACAAGTGAGGTTGGTCCAACAGTTCAAATCTAATGGCTATATCAATAGCCAAATCTCAAGGTGTCTAATTGTCGTTTAGTCAAATATATGCAACAACCAAATAAGCAAGAATATGTAAGGGTTACTCAGGCAACAATGAGCATTATTTCAAGTTTCAAAATAGAAATGACCTTGACAAGGTAATTAGCTCAACATACCACGCCATTTGCTGACAATCGATGATGCAGAAATATTGAAAAATGTGGTTTTGCACTCTGTCGCAACAGCTTTTGCAAGCATAGTCTGCAGTATTTAAACAAAAAAATCCTTACACATAACCATAGATTGAAGCTTCAACAAACCTTGTAACGCAAGTATCATATAAACATTCAAGAAAACTTAGTTACTCTTGACGACCAATTGGTTAAATGCGTAACTCAATACTTAACAGGATGGAGAAAAGTAAGCTAATATTAGACACATCAGAATTTTTAATGCAATGCCCAATGTTTGAGTTCGTGAAGTGCGGGCAATAACCTCTTTTCCATCTGTTCTCTCCCTTTGACAAGTGACAAGCCATATTTTCAGCTAATAGCACCACCAATCAATATGTCCACTCATTATATGTCATATTCAATAAAAGGCTGATTTAACTCTAGATCTTCCATGTTGAACTTCAAAAAAATTGTTTGATTAGAAGAATTACATCTCACAACTACACATTTGGAGGTCAGCGACAGCAGCCTCACAGGATGGATCATATAGTTAATCAAAACAAGATGGGAAAACACAAGAAGAAATGACAGCGATCATGAGAAAATCATATGGAACTCCAAATTAAGAGTATAGTATACCAATCAAAGGGATAAACATTTACTACCTTTCCAGTTCCTGGAGGGCCAAAGAGAAGAATCCCTTTCCAAGGTGACAAGAGTCCAGTAAAGTATCTTTAAAGAAAGAAAAGTCAGGCCAAGTTAAACAAGAATTTCAAATAATCTTCTCCATGCTTAAGGGTATCATCTTGTAAAACAGACAGATAAGGAGCTCCACAGATCCTTATCTGGAGATGCTGCCATGTATGAAGCATTGCTTGTATGATTAGCTACAATATGCTAAAGTTGAGATTCCAAGTTACACATTAAAAGGGAAATTAACAACAGTAGACCTACTTGGGATACTTAATTGGCATGACCACTGCTTCTTTGAGTAGGCGCTTTGCATTTTCCAATCCTTTAATGGTTTCCCAATTAACATCTGGACTACCACGGATAATATCCCTGAGTAGAAGAGAAGAAAAATGTCGCATAATTTGTTTCATGTTACATACTTTCCAATCATACATAAAAGAGAAAATTATAGAGTTGATTTTATTACCTACTCAAACTTTCTGCTAAATTACGCATCTCAGCAGTTTCAAAAGGAGGAAGCAAAGATCTCTGTCTGAAAAGTAAAATCAAAAGTGAAAAGTCTAGCCAGCAAGCTGCTGCTCCTGCAAGTTACTCATATATAACATGTATGCAAAAGAAATTTTCCTGTAAGCATATCTGTACTCAACAGCGAACAATCGAGTAGCCAATATTAGGATGCACTCTCACTTTGACAACAGCTGAAGCATTTACTTTGCATGTTGTATACATGTATACTTCAGGAAGAAATTATATAATCGTGATAAACATCAACAACAGTCCAGGAAAATTGACCTTTACTCGACTATCAAGTTTGATGTCTTTTATTTTAAGTTAGAGAGGACAATAATAATGATGATGATGACATTATCATCATCATCAATATTATTATCATTATTGTTGTTGTTGTTGTTATTATTATTATTATTATTATTATTATTATTATGATGATGCTGTATGGAATGTTATTTTAAAGTGGTAGTGGAATGACAAGAAACATATGGCACAAAGCAGTTATGTTCTTTTAAACAAACTACACAAAACATATCCACCTCCAAAACAGGATTGACACAATGAATAGTAAATATACTCACTTAGCCAAACAATCCTACCACAATCACAGATCGACTAATAATTTCTTCCCAGCCAGCACAACTTTGCATCAGCTCCACACCCACGAGTACTAGCATGGAGCTCGCTGATATTGATGCTTCATTTATCACTGGATCATTTTGCCTGCCTTGTGCTTCAGTATTCATCTAATACTGATTTTACTATATCACAACAGTTAAAAAGGCATAGCAATTTCATGCTGGTAACGGGAAACCAGGATATGTCGTTCACCTTTAGTACAAATCTTGGAATTTAATAGCGCAAACATTTTTTCTAATTGTTTTCATATTAATACAGTTCATGAACTTCAAATTAAATCATCCTCCCTCTTTTTACCCACAGTTCTTGTTGTATTTCTATCAGGGATGCAAGAATGTGATTAATTATTGACTCTTCCATTTTAATGTCATAAGCAATCAAAAAAAGTAACTAGGCATATTCATCGAATTGACTAATGCAAGTCATCCGATTAAAGCTGTCCACAAGCAACTACACTCATCCAAGTCCCACAAATTTCTCAATAAATTGTCTATGTTTTCCTGCAGAGAACTGGATTCAAAGACAAATAGAAAATTCGCCATAACCAAGCAACAGAAGTCAACGATCAGCCACTTAAATTAAAGACACAATACCCACTTTTATAATTAAAGCCTTCAATAAATAACTAAAGCTGATTTCTATTAACTACTTTTTGTTACCTATGAAAGTAATTCCAACCTTTGCCCTCTATAAGAGCCATCAAATTTTAGAAAGAGATAAACATGTTGCCAGAGTACAAAAGAAATTGTTTGAACAAATAGCATACATATTGACTGCAGATATCATGTTCAAATGTCATTTACCAAGTCCAAAGCTTTATTAGTATGCAGGCCTCTGGTGCCCATGACTCAATTCTATAATAGAAACACATATACAATGCCAATCTTTAAGTTTCCTCAAGCGTTGTTTTTCAGTTAAAAGCTGCATATTTGGAATGGCCAAACTCAAAATAGGTACTAAGCTTCGCTAACTATTAGATTTGGGTGCCAAAAGAGCCACTCAACTTTCTAAGAGTGTACTCTTCACATGACTCAATGAATTTAAGTCATCAAATCATAGATGCAGCAATTCTAACAGAAACATGGCTGGCTTATGCCTCATTCCATTTAAATTAATGGCTAAAATCAACAGAAGTGCTGGCAATTTACTGAGATAAAAGCTTGGCAAATTAATTTTATGACTCTGACTAGTGAAGTGCTGGAAACATCCAATCAGAATAGTCTGGTTACCATTCAAGCTTTCTTCCCCTCCCCTGACATATTGCATGAATGAAATGTTGACGCTCTTAATGGAAGTTAATGATAAGCCTACAAAACAATTAGCTTTACAGAAAAGGGAAAAAAGATGTCTCGTAAATACAAAACCACATACAGTGCATCAGTTACGGCAGAAGGAACTCCATTGCTGTATGTCGGCCTCCTTGGATCCTAAATCACCACATAAATCAACCATATCGACTAGATTAGCAATCAAGCAAAACATATACCGCATGCAAATAAAAGATGACAAGAAATCACCTGATTCTGATACTCCTCGTAAATGGCTAAGTCAGATTTGTTCTTCAAATGTCCATTCCCATTAGATGACACATTTGATGGATCGCCATCAGATACCATTCGTCCATTCGCATCCGCCTCTTTGGTCTCCGGAATTCTCTTCCTCCCAAACTTCGTATCATAAAATAACTTAAAATCCTAAAAAGTCCAAAAAAGAAATACCCTAATGAATATGAATAATTCTCCATTATTTTACCTAATGGAAAAATTTAGCTGTCATTTAGCCACCAAAAGTCATCGATGCGGATTATCAATAATTTGAACATATAGTTGAAACACCAATTTTTTTTTCCCACATAATGAGTTCAATCAAGGTCACAGGAGTTTCTCACAATCAGTATGAAAGAATAATTACAGCTCAAATCAAGTAAAATACAAAGTTTAATTAAGCATGCGGAATCAAATAATAAAGTCAACTACTCAGCATTAAGGTTTTAGAATTTAACAATTAAGAATGAATAAAGATTGGAAGATACTTGAAATGTCCATCGAGTGAGGGAAGGTTCGTCAGCCATGTGATTCAGGCTTTGCTACGAATTAGTCCCCTGAGAAAGAAGAAGAAAGAAAGAAAAGAGAACTGATCTTTCCTTCTCTTCTCTTCTCCCTCTCTCAACTCACACACACCAACACACTCACTATCTGTTGTTCCTCGTGATTCAGATTCAGATTATTATACACTAATACCAGAAGTAATATATATTAAAAAAAAGGCAGAGTAGACTTGCTAGTTGGTGGTATAGAACTCGTTGCACCGAGAAGAATTGTTTGAAGACAATTCTTTACCGAAGAGGGGAAGGGGAAGGGGAATGGGAAGGAGGGGTGAGGGATGGGTGTGATGAAATATAACAGTGAATTTGTTAAAATTGAAATTGAAATCTGAAATCCGAATTCATTAAATATTAAATTGTTAAATATTAAATTTAATACATTTGAGTGTATATTACATTCAGTAATAAGTGAATAGTGTATCACTTAATTTTGAGAGCAAGTTTTGTCTAAAAAATTCAGTGTCACTTAAATTAATTCAAATGTTTAATTTTTTATTATCAAACAGTCGGAATATGTTAAGATTTGAATTCATTAAATTTAAATATTGAACTGAATTATCAAACAGGACCTAAGTAAGAGGTTTCAAGTTTGACGATTTTCACTTATACTAAAAAATAAAAGAAAAAGAGAATGAGAGGGAAAAGGAAAGGAGTATCAAAGAGGGTAACAAATCCAGGTGATTCATAACTAATAAAGTTAATAATTATTGTCATAGGGTTTGTTTAATGGTTACCTATCGACCATTCATTGAAATATATTTTATGTGTTAAATTTTTTATATAGTAAAATTAATTAGATAAAATGTACCTTTATTCTTATCCTTATCCTTGTAATATTTAAGAATGCATTTAGGAATAGTTGAGTGACCGATTTCAACTGCTTGGTTATAAGGATGTTATGGTCTCTTGAAAATAGTGTTATAAAGAATTGTCTTTAGAACAAGTGTTTAATGCTTATTTTTTGGGTAACTTTTACTTAATTGCTATGTTTTGGGGTTGCAAAGGTATTTGTTTTGGGACAGGTGCCTTTGGTGCTTAAATGACCATAGAAGGTTATTTGGGGAATGTGATAAATTGTAGAGAATTGATTATACATATGGTACAAAGTCATATAGCAATGAGTCATTCTGATTTTAGCCATTTGCCTCTTAGTAATTGTAATAGGAGGAGCTCACCGCACACATGCGCAATGTAGAATTCAAAGACTGCCATGACTAGTTTTGCCTAGTAAATTAATAAGAAACCAGAAAATGGAAAAAATATAATTGAAAAGTATAATAAACAATATAACAGGCTATTAATGCAGCAAAGGCATGACTGAAAAACATAAAAAGTAGATTGTAGGCTGTTGGTGTAGCAAAGGTACAACTAAAAAAACACAATAAGTAGATTGTTGGTTGTTATTGATGAGATTATTAATGTTGAGGTTGTCAATGTTGAGAGGTTCATCCATAGTGTAGGAAGTGATTATTTCATAAGTTGCATATCTGATCAGCCTAAATCTAGAAGAAGAAGGCTTGATGCAGCATATAAGCATTTTTCCATGTAGAGTAGTCATGAGATGTTGAGTTAAATTGTAAGAACCCTCACTTAAAAATATAAATTCTCCTAAACTACTTGCATTGCCCTAAGATTAAATCAATTATAACATTTTTTTGTATTGCATTTCATTACCTTTTACATGAATTGTAACATCTTCTTAAATTGGCATTATTTTATTTCACCACATACACTATGACCAAATACCCTTTTAATTGTGTTTGAGACTTTATGTGATAGTTAAAGGTGTTATTTTAGACATTGGAAACATTTGGAGGGTAGCAACCTTATTTGGCAATGTTTAGAGTGAGAATGGCCAAGATTGAGACAAGTGGCAAAACCCTAACCATTCATCTTATTTGACCACGGAATGAGAGGATTTTAAATCATCTTGGCTTCATTTTTTTCCTCATGTTGGCCGAATTTCATTAGCTTCCAAGGAAAGAGAGAAAAACTCCATTTTCTTGCTTTTTAACCCTAGCTTGATCTTGAGCAAAAATAAAAAATGAATGAGCCTAGGTTAGTTGAGTGAACTACCTTCAAGTCTAGTGTGTAATTCAAGTTTGGAGCTTTGGTTTTTGGTGGCTTTTGGGTGATTCAAGCTTCACTTAAGAAAGGTAAATGATCCTTAACTCTTAACTTTATTGTGTTATATTATTAAGTGTTTGAGGTTTTGATGGCAAACTAGGAGTTGAGCGGATGTTATTTGTGGTTAAATTTCTTGAGCTAAACAAGTAGAAGTAGGGTTGGTTGTTTAGCATGCCATGTGTTTGATATTTTGTTTAAGCTTTGTTTATGGTTTTTCTTAATGTATTAACATGTTTTGGATCCTTTTCAAGTTAGGGATAACTCTTGGAATGTTGTTTGAGTTAGCTATAATGAAGGACGGAAGTTGGAGTTGAATGTGAACTTGTGGACTGTTTTGCTTCTCTTGGCTGATCGGCCTTGGAGTGGAGGTTTCTCCTTGATTTTTGTGGCTCTTTGCACCTTAATTAAGCCTAAGAAACTTGGCTAAACATTAGTTTAAGCTTTAGTGTGAGTTTAAATGGAAATGAAGCAAGTAAAGTGGTTGTTTTTGGGCAAGTTAGTGGACTGTTTTGGTTCTTCTTTGTTGGCTAGATTGTTTTGGTTCTTTTAATCATTTTGTATGTTGCATTTTAAGCTTCAAGGGTGCTAGATAACTTGATCCCCTATATATGAACTCTAGCAGATTGAATTGGATGAATTTGAGCCAAAACGAGTGAAGTTGGCAAGACGAAATAGAGTAACTTTGTTAGGGTTTTGAACTGATCAGAACTGAAAAATCAGTCAACTTTCCCGGATTACTGGTATTGATAGGAAAGGAACTAGAGTCTGGATTTTATACCTTTGGAAAGCCCTTCGAGTCTAGTTTCCAACGACACCAACGGCACTTGATTCCGACTTTTTTACAGTGAGATATGACCGTTTTCCCGAGACTGCGTGGGCGCGACTGTTTTACCCGCGAAAACACTTATGAACTTAAATAAGATTTTTCTTTTGCTCAACTTTCTTGCACTTGTCAAACTCATTTTCTTATGACCTTTTCCTGCATTTTGGGCCTAGCTTGCATGGTCAATTGAGTCGATTTATCCACCAACTTGGTCACTTATTGAACTTACATTTGGGTTGGAAAATAAAGCTAGAATGTTAACGACTTTCACTCGTTGCCCTAGGATTGGGAAACGGAGGTGAGGGTAATCAAGGAACTTGACGAATAAGCTTTGCATTTCTTAACAGGTGAGTGTTCTAAGTGCATGAAAATATTTACATGGAATGTCTCCTTGCTGGAATGATATGCTTGTTTGGTTAAAGTAATTGCTCTTGAAGTGATAACCTTTGGGACGAGAATGTACTTTATCATACTCGATCCTTTGTAGTTAACTTCTTGATATTGATATGAAAGGAATTGCTTTGCTTGCACTTGACTTGTTGGCTACTCGGGTGGTTATCCTACTGACTTTCTTGTGTGCTTGGGGCACGTGTTACATGCTCACTATTGCTAGAAATTGCTAGGTATGTGACGCCCCCACTTCTCCCTAAGGCGAATCAAAGGGTACCCGCGGGACGCCTGCCCAACTCTCGCCAGGGCTCACTATAATCCACAATTCACAAGCCCGGAATACTTCAATAATACTTCAAATAACTCCAATACATAATAAAAGTACTCCAAAATATGTCACACTTACAATTAATCAGCTCTCAAACTTAATACAACCCAAAAGAATATTTACTACAGCCATCTGCTGTAATACAACTTAAAGTCTTCAAGAGAAAGCAATCTAGTACTATTCACGAGCACTTTTGGTCTCGAACCCTATTAAAGAAACCCAAAACGTGGGATGAGCTACACAACCCAGTGAGGTTCCAAGACACTCTAGCAGTTTTAATAAATCAAGTAATTGAGCATACTGCGTGTATGGTTCAAGGTTGCACAATGACATATTAACATGAGACAATAATCATTGTACGAGTAATTTCAGCATATCACAGGTATGGCACATTTGTATGAAACGGTTATCATTATGTAAAATAAACACACATTGAAGGATACGGTGTTCCATTGGAACCATTTCGGTCAACTGCATCTTATAACTTCCGGTCCCCACGGTACTGTCTGGCCATCGCCTTATCCCTCCAGTGGTAATACTCGAGTATACCGAAACGGTGGCCCAGGGTACCAACCTACCCGACCGAGCCCAGTCCTGGCTCGAGTAGGTCAGTAACCAAGGGCAGGGCCCAAGTTCAGTTTAGAGCTTACAACATGCACAAGTAATCAAATAACTTGGCTAACGATAAAAATTTATTCTTTTGGTAGGTCGAGTGAGATAAAATACACACTCGCCTTAAAATGGTGGACAATTTTATATGAGCAATTACTAGCAACAATTAACACATAAACACATAAGCAATATTTGATAATTTCATGTGAACATGTAATTTACGGTAATTAAGTAATCAAGTACCAGGTAATCAAGTAGATAGAAAAATGGTAAGAAATTACGGTAAACGGTAACGGTTGACGGTTAACGGTAGTAATCACGGTTAATTGGTAGACATTAGTCATTTTAATAGGCCGCCATTGGCCGTTTCCCACTTTTACCACTTAAGAGTCGAGGAGATTTACTCCAACCGATTTATGCAGCCATAGCATAATTAATCATTTAAACACATCACATATATATGCAATTCAAGTATTTCATGTCGAGCAATTCAAGTATACATTACTTAAATATGCATAAGTGTGGTAAATACTTAACATGTAGCACTTAACACTTAATGATCATGGATTAAGCATGATAGACTTATTCAAATTACGTACTCCTATATGGAACACTCACCTATTGCAACAAAAGAGTAAGTGTGTATACAATCCTTCAGGTGTTCCCCTCGAGATCCTCTTGAAGGTCTCCTTGAGCACCTGAGCAAACAATAGTTGTCTATTACACACCATCGCTTAAAATCCCTTACTTATCGTGAATGTTGTACTAGTGTTCATTCTAAGGAGAATTCATGAATTGAGCCTTAATTATTTATAGTCGAGGCCCGGAAGTGGGTTTTAAAAACATAAGAGAAATTTGATTCTCGCCTTTGAAATCAAGTGTAAAACGGTCTAGCAATATCGGAGTAAAATTGAGAATTTGAAACCCTCAATTTCCTTTAAGTTCGGAAATTTCAGATTCGGCAAGCAAACTTTG